CCCACACCCCACACCCACACCGCACACCCACACCCCACACCCACACCGCACACCCACACCCCACACCCACACCGCACACCCACACCCCACACGCACACCCACACCCATCCACACCCAATGGTTAAATGATGAATCCAACATATTCTAAATATTCTACGAATTTGAAGATATTGGACAATTTTCTAATATACAAGTATTTAATCGAGTGTTGTTTTCGTTGAAAATCTTTGTATTATGTAAATATTTTTTAGTTCGTTATGTAGAACAGTTTAATGCGAGTCGTATAATGTCATTGTTCACCTTTCGTCTTGTTAATATAGTCGACAATATCTTTAACGGTCTTGAAGTTTTCCGAGTATTCCTCAGGAACACGGATTTTAAATTCTTGTTCAATCGCCATTATTAATTCAATCACATCAAGGTTGTCACAACCAAGATCATTTGTCATACTGGTCCCCATTGTAACGTCTTCAGGTGATACACCAATTTTTGCTACAACTATTTTTTTTACTTGATCAAAGACGGTCATGTTTGTTTTTTAACTGTAGTGCTAGTTCGAAGTACTCTTTTGAATCCTTTATCTATTAAAGAGAGAAACAGAAAAGTAAGTAAGAGTGCAAAAAGATGAGGAACAGTATGAAAAAAAGTCATTTCTTTGTAGAGTGAACTCAAGAATCAGAAACCAAACAAAATATTCAATGAAATCAGTTCGAATAAAAGTTGGAAGACTTAATGTTTTGGATTGATACGAATCTTATAATCTGTGCTAATAACTGCAAAGACAACAGGGTATACGATTAGAGATGGAAGAGGGGAGATTTCCCTCCTCTAAATTTTTTCTTGCATCATACCATTCTCCCTGAAAATTTTCTTTACGAGTAGTTGGAAGTTTCTACTCATTAGCTTAGAGAAAGAAGTTCAGATTCAAAGAGAAAGTAGTTCAGACCTAGAGAGAAAATCAATCATTTTCAATGAGACAATGATCTTCATCCAAAGAGAAAATAGACCAGTCTCAAAGAGAAAACGGATCGTTTTCTAGAGAAAATAGTTCAAACCGAAAGTGAAAATAGTTCAAGTTCAAAGAGAAAACAGACCGATTTCAAGGAGAAAATGTATCATTATCAAAAAGAAATAGTTCAAATTCAAAGAGAAAGTAGTTAAAACCTGAAGAGAAAATGTATCATTTTCAAAGAGAAAATGGTTCAGACCTAAAGAGAGAATAGTTCAGACCCAAAGAGAAAATAGTTCAAATTTAAGGAGAAAGTAGATCAAATCGAGGAAGAAAATGAATCAGTTTCAAGGAAACAAAGAATCCGTTTGCATTTTAACATAGAATATGTTGAAAAGATATAAAATTAAACCAAGATTAAAAATATAATTCAATCCCTGACATTTAAATTTAATTAACAGGCGTTGAACAATGCATTGTAGCAGGATCCAACTTAATATGTAAGGACTTACCATTGGCATATGTCTGCTCAATTTCTTTCACCTAAAGTGCTAACTAAATTCCAATGGATACTCTGCTTTTGAATACATAAGTAACCAACAATTTTCGTTATATAGTGTTATGGTGCAATCTTTTGGATTCAGAATATGCAACACTTTTATAGATGCTGTTCTGGCGACTTGAAATACTCATGAAGCGACTGATTTCTAAATTTTCCTTCCAGTTTACGGATTAGTCTAAATATATGAAAGACACTATTGGTTCTAGGTCTCTGCTGTCTTTTCAAAAATATTTTTGATTAATACATCGGGTATCCCAAAATGTTTTCAACATAGTTTGTTTTGGGAATATCTCTGGCTAGAAAATGATAAAATCTTGATTTTTTTCAAAGAATGTTTCGTGAAAAGCTTTACAAAAGCTGTATAAACAAATCCTCATTGGCTTTTCTCTGATGGTTTCATCTATACTTCAAACAAAAAAACATGCATGATAGTGCTACTTCCTATGGTGTTTAACATAACAGAAATGTTTGCAATACCTTTTTCTTTTGCAATAGGTATTTGTTTATACGGCTTCTGTAGAACTTTCGACGGTGAACCTTTTGATAAAACCAAGGTACTGTCGTTTTCTGAAGCCGAGATACATGCAATGTAAAAGTCTTGCAAAAATTCTTTTCATGTTAAATTGTGTAGAAGTAGTGCCATCATGTATTTTTTTTATTTTGACTATGGAAGAATTATCAGAACAAGTCAATAAGGATTTATTCCTACAGATTTTATGCAGCTTTTCAAGAAACATCTTTTAAAAGAGAAATCAAAACTTTACCATTTGTCTGTACAGAGATATTTGGAAAACGAACTATGCTGCAAAATTACGAGGCGCCCGGTGTATACAGAAAAATAATCATGATAGTGAGGATGAAAATAGACAAAACATCAGACAATTTTTTCAAAGAACATTACTTTTGAAATAATCGAAATGGGTGACGAGAGTCTTAAAAGTCCCCACTGAAAATTTATTGTACTGTAAAAAAACTCAAAGACCCGTTTCTCTAATTATTTTTGGGAGACTTTCTCCCTTAACTTTTCCCTCTCTTAGCAAAACCAAACGAAAACTATAATAGTAGAGGTCGAGTACTACTCTCTATGCATATCTGTTTAATACAAAAAATTCCTTAAATATGAAATACAATAAAAATAAGCAAACTTCAATGCTAAGAAAAAAATGACATGAGAATATACAAAACGATATTGTCGTTATAAGTTTCAGCAGTTTGCGTAAGGTGCGAGTAATTCAAAAATCAAGTAACATTTTTTTTTTGATATTTTTA